GAACAACACCCAATACAATTCTAGCAACTATTGAGCCAAAGAACACAAGAACTCCTATACAGAGATTAACAGTTACAATGTATTAAATGCCACTTGCTTATATTTCACTCCGTTAGTATCCCTTGGTATGAAATCAACAATCTAATTAAATGGTCTTTTCTTGTCTATTTACAAAGGCGTGATCATTGCACCTGCACATTTAATGAAACATCCTCAAAAAAACTATTCAAATCGAACATAAAGGGAACAGAACAGAATCAACATGACAGAAGGTACTGCTTTGAGATTCACACAACCATTCACTTACATATTAAACAGAAAAACGAAAAATTCAATCTTTTTTACTAATTACAGATACACAAAACACGGGGGACCGATTTTTTGGAACAATGGTTATATCAAAGAAAGAAAATCAACCGATCACGCTGGAAATGGGAATATGCAGCGGCATCTGAGGATTTCTTTCTCCGGATGCTAAAAGCAAAGGTCAGCACGAAAAAAATGAAAATGAAAATGAAGTTGAAATGAACAAGAGGAGAGAGATAGGTCGAACAATAAGGAAAATGGGTATGAAGAAATTAACAAAAAAAAAAAAAAAAAGAAATTGCACCTGAAAAAGGGAATGAGGTGGACAATGAATCGCGAATAAAATGGCGAACAAAAGGAAATGAAATGCAGGTGAAAAGATTTCCTGCGCGTTTTGCTTTGGATGCTCTTCTGCAATTACAACTTTGCCCCAAATATGGATGGGTTTTTTTTCCTTTCCTTTTCTTTCTACCTTGGATTTAAAAAAATAAAATTAATAAATAAGAAATTGACTTGTTCGAAACATGAATATAAAAAATTAAAAAAAATATATATATTTGAGAAGAAGATTATATTTGAGAGTGTGATATTAGAGTGGATTTTGTTAATTTTACATCGTTTTATCCATGTCATCCAAGGGTTTATTTACATGTCACATAACGGTTCTTTCTCTCCATTCCTTGCAAGTGAGATCTCACATTTGAAAATTTCTTTCTTATCAATACCATTATCTATTATTTTTTTGAAACTATCAAAGGAATGGATAATATCTTCTTGTTCTTCTCGCGAGCTTTTTCTTATATTTCTTCTTAATTCTGGAAATCCTAGCTATTCTTAGCATGATATTCGGAAATATCATTGCTATTACTCAAACAAGCATGAAACGTATGCTTGCATATTCGTCCATAGGTCAAATCGGATATGTAATTATTGGAATAATTGTTGGAGACTCAAACGATGGATATGCAAGCATGATAACTTATATGCTGTTCTATATCTCCATGAATCTAGGAACTTTTGCTTGCATTGTATTATTTGGTCTACGTACCGGAACTCAATCCTAAGACAAGAAAGGTAGGAAACTAGCAGTCAGGAACCAAGAAAAGCTGTAGCAAGGCAAAGTAAGCATTCCGGTCTCTCTTGACTCGTAGGATGCCTTACCCATGACTTCCCATTGAAGCGATCAGGAGAAGCACAACTAAGCAGCTTGGGTTTGAGTTCTAATGGAGCTAGACGTGTAACTAAAAAGAAAATCTCTTCTTTCTGCCCGGAGAGAAGAGAGAGATTCAAGAGAATCTGAGGTCAATTATATCGAGCCTTTGTGGACGCTACGGGAGAAGGCATAGGCTGGCGTAAGAGACTAGTGAAGTCAAATTAGGACAACCTAATCGGGTTTATTGTATTTGTTTTTCTCAATTCGAATAAGGACAGAGAGAGAGAGGGGCAGACGGAGGGTAGAAGGCAATGCTCCAGCAGGTCCAGTGATGTCTTTCTTCTCGGCGTAACGAAAGAACTAGATAAGGATAGATGTAATTTAGAGATCAATTACATCGAGCCTACCCCCCATATCGCCTCCAAGGCGAGGTCGCCTTAACCAGATTCAATCCCAAGGGTTAATCAAGCCTTTTCAAGTAGTTCAAATAGTCGTCACAGTCTTCGTTCTTCCTTTCTATTTGGGGGATGGGCCGAACCAAGTCTTCTTTCAAGGGATGAAGTCAGCCTAAGAGCTTGCATTGTAGATTCTACTATGTATATCAGTATATCTAGGTGCATAAATAATATTTTTTTGGAAAAATATATATTATAATGATTAGTTTTATTGTAATTGTGTTAATGAAATTTATAAAATGAAATGAGAAATAACTAATGTAAATTTTTTAATTACTTTATTTTCGTTGTTATTTGATAAACAAAAAAAAAATATTTGTATCCAATCATATTTTGCTTTGTAAATTGTATAAACCTTAAAAATATAATGCGAAATAAATACCTATAAAGCCCAGGTAACACCAAAATTCTGCATGTTGGTTTGGCCCAACATTATATTGGTCTAAATGAGCCCAATCCAATTCTTAAATATGTAGACCCAATGTATACCAACGAATTGATGACACTGAAGTTTATCAATTCACACAAAAGTTTGTGATACAATTGTATTATTGTATAGTGAGGGGTGTATTCATTTGAGATTTCAATTAATATTTTGAGATTTTTTTTGAAATTTGAGACATTTTAAGGTTTTTGAAATCTTAAGATTGGAGGTGAGATGTGGAGTGGAGTTTCGCATATGGTTTTTTCTTCTTTTTTTAGAGATAAATAGTTTTTTTCTTTTGAAATCACAGCAAATTTAAAAAGTCGTAACAAATTCTAGTCTCAAATAAATCAAATACATTAGAATTTTATAAGACTTTTTAGAATTTTAAATGAATACCTCCGGACTTTAAAAAGTCTTACCTTTGTAATACCAGAGATGATGTTTGGATACAAGATTTCTCTAAACAATCTAATCATTTTTAACCAATCATTTTTTTTTTCACTAAAATCTAACACAACTCTACTGTCCTGAATATATTGATACCGGAGATGATGTTTGGATACAAGATTTCTCAAAATAATCCAATCATTTTTAACTAATCACTTTTTTTTCGATAAAATCTAACTCGACTTCATTGTGCTCAATATTATCAATATGATTAAATAACACCAGTCAATCATTATTACACATTTCATCAACTTTAATTCATTATTCATCCACTCTCAATATTATCAATATCTATATATATCTATAATTTGATGTAAAAATCATTTTTAGAAACCTAAAATAAATGAGTTGACTTTTGACTTTCTATTTATGTATTCTCAATCAAATTATGAAAAAAAATCGTGATAAGGATGATGAAATTGACATTCCCGTTAATTAAGCATGAGATAATCCCATTAATTAAGCAAATGAAAGATGAAATGGATTGTTCCGTTAATTAAGCATTGTATAATCCCCTTTTTTAAGCAATGGAATCTGATAATCAATTGTGGCCATTGATATGATATTTGTTTTTTATGAAATCAATTGTGAGGATTTTTTGGAAATCTGTTCCATATTCTGTTCCATATTCCATTTAACAATCCTTATTTTACGTGAAAATAAATGTGTTGTTTCCTTATTTCACGTATGGATAGCAATGCAAGAGTTTTTGTTTCCTTAAATTGCGGATTATTTCTCTCCAAAGCTCTCATTTCCGAATACTCACTGTCACCATACATTAAAGGAGCAGCAGTTCCAGCAATCAAACCCCACCTCTCCTCCTATGACGGTCATGGCGGCAACATAGTCGAACGGCACGTTGTCTAGCCTGAGCGAGAAGAGATGCGAGCGGGAGGAGAACGACGACGAGATGGCGTTCAGCTCGCTGGAGATCGTCGACAGCGGTGGCGACGGGGCAGATGGTGGCACTGAAGAAGAGGCGACTGGAGATGGACAAGGAGGGCGTGCCCCTAACGGCTCTGCGCGAGGTGTCCCTTCTCCAGATGCTCTCTCAGCCCCTCCACGTCTTTGTTTCTTTTGGATCCTGCGGCTTCTATGGATTTGGTATCTTTGTACTAAGTTTCTTGTGGCACTTCATTTTCATGTGGTTGTCAGGTAGATTTCATCTCTTTTTGTTCAGATCGTTTTGAAATTTGCAATATTTATCGGTTAGAGTTTTTATTTTTANATGGCGTAGATAATGGGTTGATAATCAGCATCACTTAGGATGAGAAGCAGGAAAGATTAATGTTTTCATTTTTCAACATTTATTTGGGTTACTACTGAAGTTTTGTGATTTTAGATTTTACTAATTTTAGGGGGTTTAGTTTGTTTTGTTTATTTACAAATTATTGATGTTAAAGTTATTTCACAAGGCTGATTCTCGAGAATATTATTTACAATATTATTTACAAATCTGTGCTCGAGATGCTTGCTCGTCTGAATCTGAGACTACAGTTGAGAAGAACATTGATGAACTGGAAGCTGAGGAAGGTGAAGCATCTAGAGTTGAGAATGCTGATAGTGTTGAAAGTGAAGATAATATTGTAGTTGATGACTCCCGCTGTGACAATGCTGGTTTTCAAAACAAGGATGATGAAGAATTTGAGAATGACACAACAATCGGAGGTTCTGAAGATGTCCAAGATTTAAATGCGACCTTGGAAAAACTTACAGTGCTCACATTGAAGCAAGCTACAGAGGAATCTATTTCAAACTTCACTGACCATTTGGATACTCCAGTGCAACTCAAAGAAGACGAGCATAACGTGGTAGAAGTTTGTTCAGCTCGAAACGGAAAATGCTGCTTATATAATTGCTGATTTTAATTTTATTGACCATTCGGGTGCTTAATTATACAGATAAGTAGATAATAATTATTATAAAAGAATGAAAAAATAATTTAAACAAAAAGAGTAAAAGAATTTAATTATTGTAAATACATACAAAATCAAGTCCAGAAATGTTTACTTATGAATTAAGATTTTTTTTTTATCTAAATAGAAAGCTTAATTATACAGATAAGTAGATAATAATTATTACCTAAATCCTTTTATTTTTTAATTTAATAATAATTAAGTGATTAATAAATCTAGGGAAGGGGAAGTGATTTTGTTCCAATTGTAGACTTTATTAAAATTCGGAAATTTATCGTCTCGAGCCTCGGAAGCAATATCCTCAGTATGACCGCTTTCAGAGATATCACTTTCTCGATCATCTTCTCAGTATATATGATTCAAAGGATGACCTAAGTATATATGGTTCAGAGGATGAAGATGAAGAGTTAAAAGGAGAGGACGAACGAGAAGAAGAAGAGGAGGACGAAGAAATTGGCTGCTTCCGAAATAAAAAAATTATACATGTTTATTAGCTTTTAATAAACTGAGATATAAATATTCATTTACATTATTATGCCGACTATAAAATAATATATAAATTCATCCATTTTATAAAGGTGTCTTCAATACATATCAATAGTATGCATTCAAATTCAAATCGTCTAATTTTGAATGAATTAAACTATGATCGAAAGATTCTCGCTGCTGAACACGATATGCTTCTTAAGAAAATGACTAAGGAATAGAAAGGAGTATTAGCTGGCTCAATTTTAATTTACGTGGGGAGAGCTAACAGGCTCAAATTTAACGTCCCGACCAAAAAATGACGCTGATGAAAAGAGGTGGAAAATAGATTATCCAACTCTATTATTTTTTAGGCCTTAACGATCAAGCTCTATGAAAATGACTCATTTAATATCTCTGCCTCGTGCATCGCACGAGCTACTTAACGGATAAACGAAAAAATTGGATTATTTTATATTTTGACTTACTAATTGTGGAAATGCTATTGGAAATTTATATTTTGACTTACTAATTGTGAAAATGCTATTGGAAATTTATATTTTGTGTTATAGAATGGATATATGTTATATCGAGAATATCTATAAACTTTATATTTAAAATAAATAGTAGAATAGATACAATCCGAATATCTAAACCATGAATATAGAATAGTTTCAAATATACATTGTGAAGATACGTGTTAATATAGGAAACTAACTAAATATATCTATTTATTAATCACGCCATTAACATCTTTTATTAAATCTATTTAAAATCCGTCCTTCTGCTTTGTTAATCATGCCATTAACATCGGATATGGTTTGTTTATAATGTGACATCAGATTTTCACGCAATTCATTTATCTTCACATGCCAAAATTGGGGAATTATTTGTGTCCATTCACGCGCAATTGCGTACAATATTTTTGGTTAATATCCATTCGCGCAATCAATACATATTTATCCTTAAATTTTTTATGCTAATATCCTACAAAATTTTTTTCCTATTTTTCGTTCCATTCACGCGCAATTGCGTTTAATATTTTTGGTTAGTATCCATTCACGCGCAATCATCCCATGTATTTATCCTCATATTTTTTTGGTTAATATACTACAAAATTTTTTCCTTATTTTTAGTTAACCTAAACCACCAGATAAATACTGTATAAAAAGGTATTAATTCATGCCTTTTTTTTTCATCTCCTTCCCACCGTGGTTCATAAAAATATAGAGATAAATTGTTGCAATACAGATATAAATAGCGCGGTTCTTTGATACCATCGATTCCGTCAATAGGATCAACAAACCTTTTATGCGGTTGAGAATAGTCCGAATTATTGAAACGCATCACGATCAGGAGCCATCGAGAAAGGTGTCCCCACTCGAATAATTGGTTTTCATTTGATTGACTTGGAGTAAGTATTTACTTTTTTTTATTCCCTTAATATCATTTTAATATTTGTATGTATTCAATTGAGATTCTAAATTATTGTAGGGAGAACAAGTTGAGTTGCACTCTTTGGAACAATTATGTTGAAGAATTCCTTCAACATGAACGATAACATGCTGGGGTTGATGGTCGCCCATGGATAATGATAATGAACTTATGTAGACCAAAACCCTATGGAGGTATATATTTTCTACTTAAATAATTATTTATTGTCAAAATATTATATTGTTTTTATTTAATCAATATTGTGAATATAGATCGTGTCCAACTGACAACATGCTCATCGTTGTCGCATGTTGGTTCATTTTTCTTAAGAAGCCTGTGTTCAGCCATGGACAGTTATACGTTGATGTATCCCGTGTCACCACCCGAAGTGGTTTGAAAATTTTAGTTTGTGGTGACGATGACTCGACGCCAAATCAAACGAAAAACGTTTTAATAATTTATGAATTTTGTAGTTTGCGGCCAACGTGTTTACTTTTGTTACAAACATAACAAGTTCACTAAATTTAATCATTAATATTTCTAAATGTTTAGAAATATACCATCCCGTGCATCGCACGGGTAATTACTAGTAATTAATTAATATCAATCAATCATTCTTATAAATTACATCAACTTTAATTCACTATTCATCCACTCACATAATTTTAACTAATCATCACTCCATACCATCTCTCCTTACTTTAACATCAAATCAATATTAATTGTTTTATTTTAAATATTATTTTAATATAATCTCACAATCTCACTAACAACTAATCACTTCTTTTTTTTCAAAATTAACCAAACAAAATAAAAAAACCCAAACAAAAAAAAAAAATAATCTTATATCCAAGCATCCCTGGGTCGTTGTAAGCCCATTTTCATGGCTTTAAGACCCTAATGTTCGACCTAAAATTCACTCGAGAAAGATAGTATACGTTCTTATTTTATTTTGAACATGTCATTCTCACTTTTCTTTCTATGTTTTTGTTTGTAAGGTGCTAAAATTTAGTTCATCTTTCGTTAATTTTGGTTTCAACTTGAAGGCCAGGAGAGCTCGGAACATTGCCGGTCAAGTTCTGATCCAAGTGGGTCTTGTTATGGGTATTGTTGAGGCAAACGACCACTTAAAATAATTGAAGAGATCTCCAAAATCAACGGCTCCCCCTAGTTTAGCTGATCCAACGACCAAACGGAGCTGCTCACAGTAACCACAATAAACCCTCCCGCACCAAACCCCACCTCCCATCAAAATATCTCATCTCAGGAAATGACTATGAAAGCTCAACGGATAATCCAACCTTCAAGAAGAATGTCAATCTGGTCAATTGAGTTTCCAGATCCTTCTGCAAACTTCGCCCCTTCAAACCACCATTCTCCTTAAAACCCCAAACTTTCTCAAATTTCCACCTATTAAATTATTATTAAGAAAAAAGAAAAAGAAAAACCCTTCAATTTCTCAGCTTTCAAACGAAAAATCACCAATTTTTCACGAAAAAAATGGCTTCAGAAATCGACCCCTTCTTCTTCCCCTTCATTCTGGGCCTAACCGCCGCCGGCCCATCTCAAGAAACACCCGACCCGACCGGCCCACGTGGCCGGGTCGTCCTCATCGACCTCCTAACACAGACCATGGCCGTGGTCGAGGCCAACGCCGGCGCCGTATTCGGGGACCTGTTCCCCGGAAAAACCGGCCCGAAGCCCGCCTCGAAATCTGCCATCGAGAGCCTGCCACGCGTCGAGATCGGAACGGCCCAGATCGACGGCGAGGAAGAGCCGTGTGCCGTGTGCCTGGAGGAGCTGAAATGCGGCGATCTTGCTAAGGAAATGCCGTGCAGGCACAGATTTCACGGTGGGTGTTTGGAGAAGTGGCTGAGGATTAACGGGTGTTGTCCGGTTTGCCGGCACGAACTGCCGGCGGGCGGCGAGGATGATGACGTGGAGGGAAAATCTCGCGGAGAGAGGGGTGAGAGAGAGATTTGGGTGAGGTTCAGCTTTGGTGGTCTGAGGAATCGAGAAAATCAGGGAGATTCTTTGGGTCAGCAAGAAAATTTGGATTAATGAAAAAAAGATTGAGAATTTGCTTTTCTTTTGGGTTCAGATGGGTAAAGATCAGTTCTTTTTTGTTTTTTTTAATCTTCATTTAATTGTGTAGATAAATTTTCTTTGAGAAGAAGATTTGGGTTTGGTTCTGTTTCTACACTGTGTTGCATTCTAAAGTATTAGGAAGTCGAAACTAAACTTGAGTATGAAGAACTATAAAGTGTATCAGGAACTCGAGGCTGAACTTGAGTATGAAGAACTATGATTTTTTATACATTCTACGACTAGTTTACAACCCCTTTTAGAATTAGTTACAAATGTTGATGGTATTTTATTAAAAGAGATGGGATGTAGTCCTTTCAGAAAAAGGATCCAGTTGACCGTATAGCTAAACTATGGCTCGACCCGAAGGATTCCAGCAGACACGAGCTCTGTTGGCTGAACGCAGGACATATCAGTTTTGAGAAAATAAATATATCACGAGTATCTACTGGGTGAGGAAGAAGCCTCTGGCCATGGTCACAACCGCGAATGCTGGTGAGTAAAACAGGTGGAGGTTCAAATGCATCTGGCAACTAGCCACCATTCACGCTGCTCCTGTTACCACCTTTGCTTATATTGCTATTGGGAGTGGACTCCACTGACTCACCCAAGAAAAGGAAGGAAGGCCCAGTCTTTTCTTTCTAGGCTTTCAGTCCAGTTCATCATGTCTCATGGGTCCGGATACTGGTCAAAAAGAATGTAGAATTTGTACACAATTTAATTCAATCCAAATTAAATATTTAATCATAAAAAGTCGGTCAAACTGGACAATTCTAAATTTTTCATAATTGATTTCTGGCAATTTATCAAATTGGAACATAAATTCCAATGGATAAGTATATCTAATCCAACCTAAATTAAATACTTAGTCATTAAAAAAATATCAAAAACGGGTCGAAACCCAAGTTTTTCATAATTGTTTTCCAACAATTTATTGGAACAAAAAATTCCAATGGATACATAAACTAATAGAAATTTTTACGGTAATTTCAATGTTACAAATTTTTTTTTCAACGAATGTGAACACTAAAATCTTCAATTAGAATTAAATTTTCCTTGGAATTGTAGTAAAAATTTAATGATTTCAACAACAATTTTTTCCAACTGTTTATTGTGATACGAATTTCTGTTGAAATATACAATTTCTAATGAAATTGTTTCCCCCACTCCCTAATAATTCCAACCGTCAAAATATTTATCGTTGGATTTATCAAATTCAATAGAATTTCCAACAGTGAAATTTTACGTTGAAATTTTCATACGTTGAAATTTTCCAAAGTTATAATATTATAATATCCATTAGGGTCACTATTCAATTCTATTGAGATGCATAAATATCGAGACTTTTGTTGGATTTTAGATGTGCGAACCTAACGCACGCGGAACGGAATTTTAAATTTTTCTTACCAACAATGAATATTCGACTATAACTATCTGAGATGACCTAGGTCGCATGAATGATACACGAAAACTTACAGTTATTCGTAAGATTTTCCCTCGAATATGGTATCCACGCAATCCAGTTTTTCGGTGCACGATCTAACATCAATGAATCCCTTCCGGTGAAGAAGCTATGTATCCTCAATTCAGTAAGCCAGAGAGTTGTCTTTTGATCTTGATCTCCCAATTTTTAAGATTTCGTTGTTTTTAAAAATTTCTCACTTCATCGATGAAAGATGGTGAAGAGATAATAAGATATTTATAATTAGGGCAAACCTAATTATATGGGCCATAGGAGACCCTATAGCCCAATAGGTAATTGGACCTAGTCCAATTAATAATTTAATTAAATATAAATTCATTTTAACTTATTAAATATTTTCTATCAAATAGAAAATAGTTTCATCACTCATAAATAAAATATTACAATCTAATTGGATATTTAACTCTCTCGATTCACTCTTAGTTGAAAAACTGATTGCATATTGTGTGACCCTATAGGTATTCATATATTGACATAAATATAATTTATGATCTTTAAGAAACTCCTAGACTGCATTGAAGGACGAACTCAAAATATGAAGTACGTTTAAATGTAAAACAAACAAACCTTTAGTGTAAAACTCAATGGTGATACGGTCCTTTCATTCACAAACCACTCGATTAAGCTTAGGACTTGAACGCGTGTCGAAACAGCTTAATCATTCTATCTCATCTTACTGGTTGACTTTATCAATTATATTTGAACACCAATTCAAATATAATCATGTGCATTTGCCAATGATTTTATCAACCAGTATAGAGAAAGTGAGTGTTCTCTCGAAACTATATTCGAGGAATAATGAATCCTATCTTGGCTCAAATACCAAGTTCATGTATATCGTGATCAACCCAATACAAGCTCGTATTTACCCCATAAGGAGCGTAACCGTTGGACTAGGTCTAAGTAAATCATTCTATACCTGAATTGTGTATTGACCTCAAATCAAATGACTATTACACTATTCCACACCCCGACACTCCTATAGACACATAAACAAATGGTTTATCAACAGGTTAACCAATACTTTTCAAAGTATCTAAGCGTCTATCACGAATAAAAATTATTCATAGTAGCGAGAGATACTATATTTTCAAGAATATGATGCAGACCACATGTCAATCTATCACATGTCATTAATATCGTTTTCTTAATGATCATCGATTGAGGCGATTTGAGAGTTATACTTTATCAATTAACATCTCACTCTGTTAATGATAGTATTAACTTAAGGGAACAATTAATTGATAAATTGTAAACAATCAGATAATTATATAATTAATTACAATATCATAGCTATAATATAATTTAATATAATATAATATTAATGTGATTATGTACATATGTTCTCAAAAAAATTATATCTAAGACACATATACCAACAACTTTGAGTTGGAATTTGATTATTGTTTTAATAATTATGTATATATATTTATAATTTAGTGAAGATAAACATAGGTGCAATAACTAATTTTATACCAATTACTATTGGTTAGTTAAAAGATTATTTAATTACCCACCAAGTCCATTAATGCATAGAAGCCAAATAATATCATGCCATTGTTACCTATTTATTTGGAGTTATTAGCTTCCCCTATATGCTTCGTTTTGCATTCGTCAGATCATTTATTCCTTTTTTATCTTGACCCTATACGTGTCCCTTGTGGATCATTTTTCATAACTGTCACCTTAGTTCGGTCCTTAGTCTGTCACATATCGTCTTTTGCTTAAAGACCCCTTGCTATGTCACCCCGAGCTATTCCTTCATGTTATACTACATCGATCTATCCCTAAACCAAACTATTTTAACGTCAAGCTCGTTATATTTCCTGTTCTTAGGAACAACCCAACTCCATTGTAAACCGAGTTACTACATGCCGAGCTCTCAACACTTACAGGCTTCATATAGTCGAGCTACTGTACGCCAAGCCCTCAATACTTACAAGCCTCATAGATAACTGAGCTACCTAGATACCCGGTCTCTCCATACCAGCGTTATGATCCGAGCTCCTTTATGGTCCGAGCTATAGACTCCTTCAAACTGATCCCCTCAAACCCATTGTCCTAACTAACTAATCCGATTCATAAACCGAGCTAATCTTTGCTGGTTTGTCGAACTATTCTTATGTGCTATATCAAGTTCCAATTAACAATTGTCCTAATAACTATGTGTTACATACAAATCACCTATCAAAGTTAAACACATTTATCTAATCAGTAAATGTTTGCCTTATACACCAAATTCACATAACATGCCCTATCCATAGCAAAAGTACATATACATGCATATACATATATCACAAATGCTTCTGTTAGATTGTTTAACAGCTAGGTAACCAAAAAGTAAGATTTGTACTATATCTGAATTCGGATATAGTTATACAGTAGAATATATTGTAGTATATTTTCTTGTAGTATAGTTTTACACAAATAAAATTTATTATACTACACATTATAAGTATACATGTCTATTCAAAACAAGATTTGTGATGTATGTTATTGTTGGGTTGTTGCATCATTATGTGGGGTTTTCCCCCCTCATTTTGGGATTCATGTGTTTGAACATGTTAGAAGACAGGTTCATGTTATAGCATCATTCACACATGCCTATAGCATGAATTGCAAACAAATTCAATTCCTCTTAGCCAAAAGATTGGTTAAAAAATGTGTTTAATTTAATGTTTAGGACAAGAATTTATGCAGGAAAGGTTGTCCACTATTTTTATTTATTTTATTTTTTCTATTCCAAATTTATTTGTCTTTAATTTTCTATTCTGCATATTTTTTTTTTTTATCGCACTCTGAAATTCACAAAATCATGTTGCCCTTTTATATCCATTTATGGCCAACAGATAAAACAATTATCAATTGGGATAATGTGGTCCAAATTTTACCTACTATGAACTTTTTCTTTACATGGGACTTGATATTACAAGTGCATATATACTTCACACTCACTTTTTAGTTTTCACTTTTCACCCTCAAACAAAAATTTTAACATTGTTGCATACATAGTACACTGATAGCTGATGTAATTAGCAAAATGCCCTTGAATTTTGACTTAATAGCAAGTATTTTGGGTCATTTGTTAAGGGATACAAAATGCATTTCAAAATTATTAATTACAATTAGGATTTGTATTAGCATTCACCTAGCTAACAAGGGCTTATTGATGTGGATTACGAACCTGCAGATTGCTGCTATCCCCCGAAGAGAATAGACGAAGAGTCCCATTATGGAAAAGAGGTAAATTACATCGAGCCTAGCGAAACCATGAAAGTGAGTTTCACATATACAGAAGCCCGAGCGACTTGGTAGACACTTTGAAGAAAAAAAAAAAATGATTCATGAGATACTGTAATTTCAAAACTACTCTTATGTTCTTGGTATATTTGGTAGAACATCATTTGGTGATCTTCTCAATTAATTTTTATTATAGTGAGAAAAAATAACATATATAGATCAAGGAAAAAGAAGAGAAATAATAAGATTTAATTTGCTAGAAAATGATACGATTAAAAATACAAATAATACTGAATACGACAAGATACAACACGGAAAACACAAAATAAAAATACAATTAAATTAAAATTTAGTGTCATACTTATGATCGAATAAAAATAATACTGAGTTACACAACAAAAAATTTTTTCACCTCTTCTCTTAATACCATTAAAACGAAAAAAAAAAAAAAAAAAAGAGCTAAACTCCAAAATTATGATGCAAAAAATGAGCGTGAGTGACGTGGCACATTGAAGTTAATTTACCACAAAAAAATAATAATAAATACACTCTTTCAACTTCATTTTTTTGTTCACAAAGCCCCAACACCCAGAAAGTCTATTAAAGGAGGTGAGCTCTTATCCTCTGCGGCTGATACTTCCATGGGCCAAACCTTCTGAGCCTTTGATGCGAAAAATTCAGGCGGATGATGATAATCTGACCGTTGGATGGCAAGCGGATAATGCAAATAGTTACACGAATTGGTTTCCATGTCCCATTCATTCTTAACGTAGTAAATACCTGTGTGTTAAAAACATTATAGAAAAACTAAAATTAAATGGGTCAAAACAAAATATGATGAGCCAAACAATTAAATAATTTAACTATCACTTGTTGCCTGGAAAATGTTTTTATATGTTGGAAAATAGTACTCCCTAATTAGATGCCCCCTGGTTTATAATGTTAAAATAGCACACTATTTTATTTAATTGAGTAGCCACAATGGACTATTTTCTGGCTAAATACAATATCTATAGTAATATAATGAATAAGAAAACGGTGGTAAAGAAACAATGAAAAAAAAATAGTTACAATAATTTTTGCAATTTGTATGATACATGTATTGATCATCACAAATTATAATGTTTTTTTCTTATAAAATACAATCAAAACTTTATTAATTCATAATTTGCATTCTCTATAGTATTTCATGACCATAGAATCATCCACCAAAAAAACAAATGAATATAATTAAAATGTACGGCTGATCACAGATTACGAATATTAATCTCAATTTTGCATAAAAATACTATATATAACCAAAAACAATGAAAAATATATATAGCAAAGAAATTTCTAGTATATGTTGATAAAATATTTCATCCCAAAAACAATGAAAAATATATATAGCAAAGAAATTTCTATATAGAAAACTAAAACACAAGCAAACAATGAAAAACAATAAAAATAAATAAGGCTAAAACCAAACCTGGATAATAACCAATAGAAGAACTCTGCGTTTCCCACAATAATCCCCTGCTCCCCTGACCACCTACACCACCGGCGCCCAACTGAGCCGCCGGAGCCTCGCCGTCCTCCGCCGCCCTGAAAACAAACTGCCCCATTTTCCGGCGGCGGCAGGCGGTCGACTGCTCCCGGTACTTTCGGGCCATGACGACGTGCCAGTGGTTCTTGACTGCATTGTCCGTACGGCCCGGAAAAAGACGGGCTATCAAGGCCCATTTGTTGCCGTAAGCCCGGTGGGCCGCCATCAGTCCCTCCTCTTCCTCCTCCGTGAAGGCCCGCCGGTTTATTCTCGGGTCCAACTGGTTAAACCACCTCAACCTACAACTTTTACCTATTT